AAGAGTGTCCCACAAGAGTGTCCTACAAGAGTGTCCCACAAGAGTGTTCCACCAGAGTGTCCTATATGAGTGTCCCACAAGAGTGTCCTACAAGAGTGTCCCACAAGAGTTTCGTACAAGAGTGACCCACAAGAGTGTCCTACAAGAGTGTCCCAGAAGAGTGTCCCACAAGAGTGTCCTACAAGAGTGTCCCACAAGAGTGTCCTACAAGACTGTCCCACAACAGTGTCCCACTAGAGTGTCTCACAAGAGTGTCCCTTAAGAGCGTCCTACAGGAGTATCCCACAAGAGTGTCCTACAAGAGTGTCCCACAAGAGTGTCCTACAAGAGTGTCCCACAAGAGTGGCCCACAAGAGTGTCTCACCAAAGTGTCCCACAAGAGTGTCCTACAAGAGTGTCCCACAAGAGTGTCCTACAAGAGGGTCCCACAAGAGTGTTCCACAAGAGTGTCCTATAAGAGTGTCCCACAAGAGTGTCCCACAAGAGTGTCCTACAAGAGTGTCCCACAGGAGTTTCCTACAAGAGTGACCCACAAGAGTGTCCTACAAGAGTGTCCTACAAGAGTGTCGTGTAAGAGTGTCCCACAAGAGTGTCCTGCAAGTGACCCACAAGAGTGTCCCACAAGAGTGTCCTGCAAGTGACCCACACAAGTGTTCTACAAGAGTGTCCCACAAGAGTTTCCTACAAGAGTGACCCACAAGAGTGTCTCACAAGAGTGTCCTACAGAGTGTCCCGCAAGAGTGTCCTACAAGAGTGTCATTTGGACATATTAGATTTTCGAACGTGTTTGCATTCGGGTTCGTGGGTTCCATCTTGTTTTCATCTTTTTTCATATGTTAGCGAAAGATTGCAATGTCACCTGTTGTGCTAGTGGCACGATTTTCTGGTTCGTTGGAGAAGACTTTGTGAAAATATGGCCGGCAATTCCTGGGAATTGGCGGGCATCAGCATTGCCTGGCAGCTTCGAGAAGCCGATCATGTTGAAGGATGTTGAAGGTTTCTTTTGCCAGCAGAGGGCTAAGTGCTAAGTGGCTTGATCTCAAGAAGGGTAGCTAGGCGAAGAGGGCGTCAGACACAGAGGGTGATGAGAGGCACCTGTATCCCAACAAAAGCAACGGGCGCCCAAGGTGTTGATGTTCGAATCCACCAGGGATCTACATCCATGAGATATCTCCCGTCCTTGGGAGAAGGCAAGGTGGTTTTCCATTGGCTTTCCCATGTGTTTGGGTTCCTCAACCTTTGATCTAACGTTGGTAGGAGGGTGATGGAGGGTGGGTTTTCTGCCGATTACACCAACATCCACATCCGGCTTCCCCTGTGGCGCCCACATCCGAGGTGATCGATGATGATCGTGTGGCGCATGTCGAGATCGCAGGGATTTGCCACTTGGTGCGGGTCTGGAGCAGGTTCTGTGGATGACAAAATCATAGCGGAGCAAAAGCGCCAGTGATTCGAGAAGTGAGTTCTATTTAATTTTGGCTGGCGTCCCCTGCCCTCGAACCTTGATGGACCCTGTCCTGGAGAAACACCGCCCCTTTTTTTAGAGGAGTCTTGCAAATACTGATGGAGCCAAATTGGACCTACCCAGGAACAGTGCTCCACCTGCCCAACCCTTTTTGAGGATTCATATGCCTACATTGACCCTCCTGGCACCAGCTGTGGCCGTTTTGAAGGCAGTCCCTTCTTCGGGTCGTGTCTGGGGATGTGAACTGACCAGGTCAGACCTTGCAACGATCAGCCTGTTCACAGGGTTCTATGACCTGGTCCGTCGCTCAAACTAAGTGGAGATAGGTGGCTGAACACGTTCAACCTCGAAGCGCGATGGCCTCCAACCTACTAGCGGCTAGGCGTCCAAACACCCAGGGCCCCCGACCCATGCACGACAAACCTGTCGACGATGCGAACCACCACGTTCGCTGCCTGCCAAAGAAGTGTCACCCGGGTTGGCTGCCGCCAGCCACTCAGGTACTCCGAAGTCCTTGGATTTCGCGCCTCGGCCGAAAACGAGCGAACGAAGAAGCCAGTTCCCAAGCACCGGTCGTCTCAGGATCCACAGCATGAAATTGGGGGAGCTGATGGGGTGAAGCGACAGTCGTTGTGTTTTGTTTCATCTCCATTGGTGGGAAGATTGGGGTGGGATTTGGAAGGTATAGATCAATGGCCAGGCAGCTGTTCTAAACGTTGCTGTTCTCCACTGGTGCTTGAAAACGAGTGTTTGACATCAGTCTTTCATTCAACTGGACTCCAACAGGTTCAAGAAACAAGATGTTTGCCGATGTGTGTGTGTGTGCCTTTTCAAGAAACCTGATGTTTGCGGATGTGTGTGTGTCTTTTTCCACCAGAAAAATGATGACACCACATTAGACAACTATAATATCTATCTACTTTCCATCCTTTCACCCCAAGGGTTTGGCGCTCAAAAGAACGCGAGGTGCTCAACGCCTTGCACCAAGCTCGTGTCAAGGAGGGAGTCAAGGCTTCCTCGCGGCTTCCGTCCGGAACGGACCTTCGCGTCGACACCCGAAGCTGGGAACCACCGGCACGAGCGAAGCGTCCGTGTCGGTGAAGGTGGAATCGGCCAGCGAAACACGTGGATCCAACGTCCGAGTGTGCCAGTGTGTTGTTGGCCTGAGCAACCCTTGAAAGTACTCGGTTTCCGGCCGTTGCCCCATTGTGCAGCACCAGTTTTTCCCGATGGTTTCCATCCTTTGGTGTTTGGGACGAAGTCGCCCGAAGTCCGATGACATCCAAAGCGTCGACATCTTCCGCCAGGCAGTGGTGATGCTCCTGCGCGGCAGCAAGGCGCAGTTCTGGTTTCAGGGAGCCTTTAGGTTTGCAAGGAGAAAAGCCGTCCCATGTCACCAATGCAAAGGACACCCCAAAGGTGGTTTCCAGTCTGTGACTGGAAGCACAAGCCGGGACCCTGAAAACAGGTCTCCGAATGGAGGGTTGTGGTCGGCCCTGCCCTCTCAATTGGTGACCTAGTAGTCACTGTCATGTGTTCAACCCCGGAAGGCGCCAGTGCGCATGAAAACAGCGGAAAATTACATTCCTTTGACAGCGCTGAAGCATCCTGAGTGGCCTGCCCCTGGGTGTTTTTTGGGGACGTGCGATTGGATCTGAGTATTGGGCAAGAAAACAGCAAAACTGGAATCATGGGGTAGCTTTGCTTTGGCTCAAGGTTTCTCAGTTCTCAGCAAGCTTGGCAGATGTTGTTTTTGTGAAGCATGCCACAGCCATGGATGTTGTTTCTTTGGATTTGTTCAGTGTGTGGCTACGCACTGTCTGGGCTTCGTGGTGCGCTTGCTTTTGAGAGCCCTTCCCACTTTGTACCTGCTACAACCGAGTAGCTTTGATCTTTGTCCCAACCAGAAAAGAGATCTCTTTCAGGACATGGGTCTAAACACATAGTTCCCGTCAAGAAAAACCGTTCGCACAGCCGTTCGGAGTTCGGCTCAGAAAAGATGAGCCCCACGCACTCCCATTTCAGCCCTTTCCTCGACCACGCATTGCCTTTTCCGCATCAGTGATGATCCATTTACGATCCAATCGAACTGTAGTTTGAGAGGTGATGTTTCAGCATGCGCAAGGACGGTCCTGGCATGGTTTCCGGTAGATCGAAGAAGCCCAGAATAGTGTACAATATTGTACAATCCAAAACCATGTTCATTGCTTGAATCGCGGTGGGCCAAAAATGCCCTTGCGGCTTGAAGAGGCTGGAGATTTGGAATGTCAGCAGCAACATGCGTTTGCCAAGGTCTATGTTTTTGGCATGGACATGATGTAAGAGGATGTAAGTGTTTTTGGATATAGACATATCTACCTGGCATCTACCTGGCTTGCTCTCAGCTCATGCCAGTCGCCTCTCACTTTGACCTCCTGAGCCGCAGCTGTGTTGGACCAATGACAAGAAACTCAATGGCAGTGGAAGTCGGCTACTCCATCCTCTTCCCATGGAAAGGAGAGGGTGGGTTCTTGGCAAATGCCAAACCTAGCTCAGGATTGGGACAACGATCTGATGGTTCGTGAGCAGCTGCGTCAGGGCACTACCTGACGCAGAATGTTGGCACCAAGTGCGCGGGAGGAGAACAACGGCTACGTTGAACAAATCAGTGCCAACTTGAAGGTGACTAGGTTCATCTTGGCACCGACCGCACACTTCCCAACATAAATGGGCTGATGCAGCAAATCGAGAAGCTGTTTGCCAAGAGTCAGGTCAAATACCGTCTACATGGGGACCGTGTCTACTGAGATGCATGGGCTATCAGACGATTGCGCGGGCTTGTCAAGAAGCAGGGCTGTCGAACACATCTTCCACGACACAGCCCAATGAGATCTGTTTATTTGAGGCATTGCAAAAGACCAGCTCTTGTTGCACCAACGGCGCGAGTCAATAGGAACCAGTTGCGTGCTCCCTTTTGGTGGAGCTTGGAGTCATTGCCGAGGACCAACGGTGGGCTTCACTCAACATATGTGCAGTACCAGATTGGAACGGCGAAGGATGTAATGCGTGTATACTTGCACGCAGGAAACTTGTTGAGTCGTTCGTAGGATGGTGATGGTCCTACGCCTGATGGGTTTCTGCTGCAGTTGGTGCTGGCTCTACTGCGGCTGCTCTTTCCGCTACAACTGCTGTGCCAGAAACTGTGGAGGCTGCGGCAGGTAAAACTTTATTACGAATCTGACCATGTTTGGTGACGAACTGTGGCGTCCGTGACGAACGAGTAGCAACGTGGAACAATCCAACAGAGGTTAAGAGGACGTATGGGCTATAGTGGAAATCTCGGCCACATAGTTCGACTATATGGTCTGGCTTGGCCACATCATATACCCACGGCCAACTGGCTTGGAATGTTGTCGCTTGTGTGCGAGGCCGCATTCTTTTGGAAGGTTTCCTCAAGGAAAATAACATTGTCAAAAAGATGCAGAGCCTTAAAATGCTAGCGGTTCGGGGGCCAGAACAGTCCAGAAACATGAAAGTGGCGACGGGGCGGTCGGCGCCAAAGCTGAAGTGCATTGCACGCGCTGATGCAAACAAAGTCCATTAGAACAAGCCGATTAGCGCCACAGCGTAATAAATATGTTTGATTCGGGTTGAACGACTTTAACTGACAAAGGGAAAAGGCCCTCTGGAATTTCATAACGGGCCGGGTAGTTGGGAAACATGCAACTGGGGCAGTCCGCAAGGAAAAACCTTCACACAAATTATCAAAGCTGGTATAGAGAAAAGAGAAACCAAAAGCAAGGACAGCGGTCCCAAAAGATCGTCGCCGAAGTCATAACGGGCCAGGAGGTCGGAAAACATGAAATTCATAACGGGCCAGGTGGTCGGGAAACATGAACTTCATGACGGGGGAGGTGGTCGGGAAACATGAAATTCATAACGGGCCAGGTGGTCGGGAAACGTGAAATTCATAACGGGGGAGGTGGTCGGGAAACATGAAATTCATAACGGGCCAGGAGGTCGGAAAACATGAAATTCATAACGGGCCAGGTGGTCGGGAAACGTGAAATTCATAACGGGGGAGGTTGTCGGGAAACTTGAAATTCATAACGGGCCAGGTGGTCGGGAAACATGAAATTCATAACGGGCCAGGTGGTCGGGATACGTGAAATTCATAACGGAGGAGGTGGTCGGGAAACATTAAATTCATAACGGGCCAGGTGGGCGGGAAACATGAAATTCATAACGCGCCAGGTGGTTGGGAAACATGAAATTCATAACGGGCCAGGCGGTCGGGAAACGTGAAATTCATAACGGGCCAGGTGGTCGGAAAACGTGAAACGCATAACGGGGGAGGTGGTCGGGAAAC